CACCTATGGGCTAACTGACCCACCCACCCTTTTGCACCCAAGGGCCCCCAAGGGAAGACAACCACTTGTTATCACACAAACTCATATCTCCTTTACTAGGGATGCTTTCTACCAAGTTTGGTTGAAATCAGTTAAACTTAAATTCTCGACCCTTTACAGTGCCCCGTTGAGGGGGATGTTATTGACCCAATTCTTATTTCACTCATAAATATGGTAGACCTCGCCCCAAGGTCCCTAATTATGGAGTCCGTTGGACTGTCGGTTCAGGAGAAAAAGATGTGCCAAATTTTACACTTTTTGCCCCCTAATTAGGTCCCTATAAGGCCCACACAAATGGCGTTCTGTGAAGGTACAAGAACATGTCATGTATAATATGGGAGGAGTAGGTGGTACAAAATTGTGTCCACAGACAGACAAGCAAGCTTTTTCCAGAACCCCCCCCCCCCTACCCACTTTGTTGTGGGGGTATAAATATTTATGACTATATATTAATATTGAAAAGAGACAAGTCAAACAGAGCAATAGAATACAATTCTGATCCCAGCAGAAATTGTTTATAAGTGAACACAGCATGCAAATCTTAATCTGGGATCCAGTTGGCCTAAATGTATTATACCAGTATTTAGAGCCGAATACCTTTTATTATTATCAGGGGATTAACGTCCTCCACTGCCCTTATATACCCCCATAGGACTCTGAACAATAGAGTCTACGCTACAGGTGTACAGCGCTTCAGGTAAACAATACATGAACACACCTTACTACCCCAATAACCGCACGAGCTACCTCGCTCTACACAGAGTACAATACACAATATTCATCATTAGGTGCATACTGATACTAATGCTTACATTCATATTACAATAAACACGCAAATATAAATTTGTATTTACTAATTCATATCGCATAATATAACAACCATGACACTATAGATAATACACGTATTTGTAGTAATAGAATACATCACATAATTATAAACTTAGACATCAGTTCTTAAAATCTGATTAAACAACTCAGAATTGTCATTCTTTACAAACAAGGATGAGAAAATGAAAGAAGAAACATTCCATTCTTTCAGCAATTTTCGAGGGATTTTGGCACCCATCATTGTCTAGTCTTTACCTACCTAGTATTCTGATTATTTGACAGAATATGTAAATTAACTAAAGCAGCAACAAAACAATTAGTTAAACCCGACACTAAGAGTAGCTGTCATACAATCATGTACCTCCATTTAATTTCCTTAAAAATACTGAATTCAATTATAAAAAACAACTAATTATGTCTTAATTTTTTAAATCAAATGGAAGAAAATGAAAGAGGAAAAACATCAAATCTGACATTCTCAAGATAATATAGATACTTCTCCTATATTTTTACGTTAGTATCATTTTAGAGCGAACCAACATTTCAAATAAGGATATGCCAATTTCCAATAGTTTATATTACGTAGCAATGCCCAAATAATTGGACACATACACTGGTAGCCGGTGTAAGGTGACAGGTTTCAGTACTGATTTGGTGTTAAAGTCATTCCCTTACTGTGTAAAGTAACACTTTTAAGAGAAAATTTGGTGTAATGCCGCACCCGTGCGGTGTAAGGTAACATTAAAGGTATCGATTTGGTGTAAAGTCATTCCCTCACAGTATAAAGTAACACTTTTAGGTGAGATTCTGGTGTAAAGTGACTCTCTTACGGTGTAAAGTAACACTTTTAGGTGAGATTCTGGTGTAAAGTCACTCTCTTACTTAAAGTAACACATTTAGGTGAGGTGTAAAAGTAACACATTTAGGTGACTTTTAGGTATTAGAGATTCTGGTGTAAAGTGACTCTCTTACGGAATAATTTCTCAAAAATAGCTGTTGTTGGATTAAATGTAATATACTTTTAATGTTCGTTAATTGCTTACTGAAAAATACTTTAAATCAACCCTTCGTGTATTTTTGGATAATTAAGTTTCTGCAGTGGTGTTGCATTTGTGTTACCAAATTTCATAACGTCATGTTTATTGCTATGTTGTTTGTTTTCGAATATTTGCTACAATATTTCTGTCATGCTGTAATGAATGAAACGACTGTACATAATTATGTCTTCGAATAGAATTGTCCTCTGCCATCTTGTACATTACTTAAGAATTTGACACAATTAATTATGTATATTTGTATCCTATATGTTGTATTGCATTTGGAATAAATAAACTTGTAAAATTATTAACACCGTAGATTCCTATGTGGCTTGGGCACAGCACGGTACGGACACACACAAAACAAGTAGTGATTGTAATGGGGACCATTACAAATGTCCCCCAAACAACCCCTTCAGCAGTTAATGACCACAATAATCAGACCTGCAGTCATGCCAAACATGGACGGCGCCATCTCCTATAGTGCCACCTAACACATCTAGACCAATTTTGACGAAAATCGGACAATATGTAAAATTTGGCCAAATTTTGACCACAGCTGACCGCTGAGATGACCGATTGGAAAAATTCAAGTGGCCTGCACTCCGCCTCGCTTGTATGAATATGTGTGTAAAGTTTTGGTAAATTCCATACCACAGTTTTTGAGAAACGCGTTGGAAACCTCGCCGGCGGAAGAAAGTAGAAGAAATAAGAATAATATAAATAATAATAATGATAAGAAGAAACGGAGCAAACACAATATGTCCTCCACTTTGTTTGGGGGACATAACTAAGACACTTCTGAATTAAGTCCGAAATACTAGAACACTATAACACAGGTAAGTCTTAGACGTATCTGCTTACCGCTCAAATATACCCTATGCTTGTTTATAAAGAGTCGAGAGTACTCGTTTCGCATGAGTGAGAGTATTGGAAGATCGAGTGTACAGTTTGATCAGGAGAAGATTCAAGATTTTTTATTACTCTCTGACACACATACGCATGTAACAAGAGGTCATACAATATTTAAATCAGACATAACAGGGAGAGTAGATAGTACACATTAAAGTTCAACATAATCTCATATATTCAGTATCATTTCATGGGCAAATTTAGTAGTATTTTATGGACAGATTAAGTATTATTTCATGGACAAATTCAGCAATAAAATTTAAACAGATTCAGTATTATCAAGGACAGATTGAGCAATATTTCATAGAAAGATTCAATAGTATTTCATGGACAGATTCTGTGTTATCATGGACACAATCAGGAATTATCATGGACACAGTCATTATTTACATGAGTAAATTTTACATTAACTATAATGAAATCAAAAAGTTACAAACACCAATTATTGTAACAAAATAAGATCCGATTAATAATTATGCAGTTAATAACCAATCAGAGTTAATTAATAATATTTTATATAATTGATGATATTTAGTGCAGAGCTATCAAACCGTTTATCGGTCAAGGAATTAGATAAGTACTTAAGGTCTCACGTTAAATACATAATTCAAGCATTTATGGTCAGTTTATAGAACTGGACCTACGTCATTGAATACGTATGAAACTTCAAATTGTGAGATCAGCACGGAGTATTACAAAATTTGGGCTAATTCTGGTAGGGTTAGGAACACTTGACAATTTCACATGCTTGGCAACGTGATCGTTGTCTATAAAATAGGGGCTTGCACTGTTGCTAACAGACTTGGGGAGAACGACTGGCCAGAGAACATCACCAGTGTTACTCTCTCTCCTCATTTCTCATATTCGGCCAATGGAACCTAAAACTTGTTAACTGTAGACTTTATTTCAACTTTTCGAACTCTTTCGTTTTAACTGCATGGGAAGACTGGAGAACTCGTACTACCTGGTTGTATTGTTAAGCACCTGGAGTGTTACGAAGTACTAACTATGAAAAACCACTATACGATGAAATAAACGTTTCGGTCAACCCAAGTAAACACTGTGTTTAGTCATTGTGTTACATTATATAATAGATTATAATTTACACATCATCGTCATCATGAACATCAATCATCATCATCATCATCATCATCATCATCATCATCATCTTGAACATCAATCATCATCATCATCATCATCATCATCATCATCACCATCATCATCATCATCATCATCATCATTAGAGCATCATCATCATCACCATCATCATCACCATCACCATCATCATCATCATCATCATCATCATGAACATCAATCATCATCATCATCATCATCATCATCATCATCATCATCATCATCATCATCATGAACATCAATCATCATCATCATCATCATCATCATTAGAGCATCATCATCATCACCATCATCATCACCATCACCATCATCATCATCATCATCATGAACATCAATCATCATCATCATCATCATCATCATCATCATCATCATCATCATCATCATGAACATCAATCATCATCATCATCATCATCATCATCATCATCATTAGAGCATCATCATCATCATCATCATCATCATCATCATCAACAACATCATCATCATCATCATCATCATCATCACCATCATCATCATCATCATCATCATCACCATCATCACCACCATCATCATTAGAGCATCATCATGATGATGAGAGAAGATGTGTACCGAAAACGATGTTATATCAACAAAACATGGAGTGTACCAAAATGTCGAACAGTATTTGATTCAATTGTATTATATCGTAAATATCTTTAACAACAATGACAGCAAGACGTGTCAATAGTATATATTAGGCAAAAAATTGTGAGATTTCGTCGTAGGTTTCGTTTGACCAATTTATTCCCCTCAATACATGTGTGGGATTCCAAGGCGAAATGTAGTTACCTAATTTACACGTTTTTCTAGCCAGTCTTCATTAATCAAGTAGTTAGAACTCAGCGGAAAATAATATTCAATTAGGAGTCTAGACAAACTGAAATTTGTACATAATTCAAGTCTATCAGAAAAAATGTCATTTTCCTCGAGGTGTCGGCTAGTTGTTATGTAATGGGCTATATATTGTATAGCCTTTGATTCGCCATAAGGATCATTTAAGCATCTAATCCTTGATTCACCACGACAAAACAAGTTCTATGTTGTGGCTTTGATCATCTTCCAGGCATTTTTCAAAACACCTGGATTCTTATAGTCATTATATACGAACTGTTTTTTAAATTTTGTTAACTGGTTCTGGTTCGTTTGAAATCTGTGATCATGTCGTGGTATGATGCCCAGTTTCAGAGCCACGATACCTAGGTAACTATCGTCGATATGAATGTACTTGACGAAAGGGAATGCTAGAGTAAATCTCTTTGCGATCTTTTGCGAGACAACATATGATCCACCTCTAAGATATGGCGGCCAGTGTTTATGTTCATAAACATTTTCCGGTACACTCCATCGGTGTTTCCGCCTTATAGCACGCGCCATGATGATCTGAATTCCACAGAACAAAGAGTCTAACTGTTCTGGATTGAACGATCGCAAAAAGTCCATGATATTATCTATACGTGGTAAATGGTCTTCGTCTATAAATAGAATAGCTCTCGCTGTTGGGCATTCATTAACGGCCCAGTTAAATCCCATGATGGTTTTCAGCGTGTTGTTTGCGTAAGTATCCACAAAATTTTCTACAATCACGTCCTGGTACGTTTCATCCTCCAATTTGGTTTGTTCAGCATGTGATACGGAGAACCCGAGCATAAATCGTAATACAATATTTTTACTCAGGTCAGCGCCCCATGTGTTTCTAATAGCATCTCTTAAAAAAACATTTTTAACACTTGATTTCACAAGAATGAGCAGCGTTATGTTTTCTGTCATGTTCGGAAAGCTACACTTCGGAGAGCGGTGTATGTATTCATAACCGTGCTCATTGATAGGTTTAACTGTAATGTTAATATTATTTTCAATTTTATCGTCGATGATTTTTTTTAAGTCTATATCCAATGGAAAATGTATAGCGGGATGAGATTTTGGCGACACAGTTGTATTTGACACACTCTTCACATTTTTCGGCGTAGTGTTTTGTGTTTTGTTGAACGAAGGGAACACTGAAACGGTGGGAAATGAGGAGACAGCCCTTACACTTGCAACCGGAAATTGGTTTCTGACTTCCTGACTAATAACCATCTGGAGATCGTTTTGGGCATGATATAAGACATAGGGGAGCAACGTTGCCAGCAAAATCATAGGTACGAATCTGATGACTTTTTTATTAAACATCCTGACGTACATCATCATAGCATGTTTCAAGATTTCCATTTTGTCAAAATTGGAGTTGCGTCCCTTCGTTTCAAGAGAGATTCACTATTGTCGTGTTTGTAACATAAACTGAAGCTATATATTCATTATTTGTGATCAGGTTGTTTTGCTGAGCTTAATTTAAGTTATATTTTTCTTCAAATATTTATTGATTTTTATTCCGTCTCTTTGCAGAGGCTATGTGTAGTGAGAGTTAGTTATTTTTCTTCGAGTTACGTCCCTTAGTTGGAGTGACTTTTAGCGGAAATTGAATCCTTGTGATGAACTACGGTCCGTATTTGGAGTTATGGCTCCTTTGTAATCTCTGGGTGTACTGTTCACATCTGTCAGTTATCCAAATATTGTCCTTTTCCAGATTTCCCCCTAAAATGAAATAAGAAATCTAGAATTACAATGAACACAGTAGAAAATAAAACTTATAAAAATGATGCGATTAGTTACAAATACCTCGTAACTTTCATTTTCACTTTTATACATAACACAGACTTTGTTAAGATATTCGGTGGTATACATTTAGGGGGATAGTATGTTTGTTTGTATGCATATACTGGACGTTAGATAAAGAATTCAGGTTTTAATACGAGATGATGTTGAGTTAAAACGACAAAAATCATCATCTGATATAAAGTAAATGCATAAAATAAATCTAATTATTCCCATTTAAAAACAATTTCAGTCTAAAGGTAATGTAATTATTGCAACATCAACGAATGTCAACAATTAACTAGTATCTGCACATTTCTATTCGCAAGAGTTACATGTTATTATTCTGTTTAAACGTTCATTTCAACCATTAATGATATAGAAGCTGTTCCGCTTTCAAGCCAAGTTGTCGATAGTTTCGGAACAGGTTGTGGGTCAAAGCACGTGCATATGCTTTGCTGTTTCTATTCGTGAACTATCTGTCTTTATTGTTTATATTGATTGCTAGTGCACATACCCATAATTCGCCAAGTCTTTCTCTAAATGGCGCAGATATTTATTTACTAAAGTAGATCGATACTAGAAAAACAACAACATCGGCAATAGGTCGGGATAGGTTGTAATACATCTGTAACATGATTCCAGGTCCCTGTGACGGGATAAGTTGTAATACAGTAGTAAGTAGTGAACAGGTAAAGAAGAGTAATCAGGTTAGAAAAAGTAAACAGGTAAGAAAGAGTAAACAGGTAAGAAAGATTACACAGGTAAGAAAGAGTAAACAGGTAAGAAAGAGTAAACAAGTAAGAAAGAGTTAATAGGTTAGAAAAAGAGGTAAGAGAGAGTAAACAGGTAAGAGAGTGTAAACAGGTAAGAAAGAGTAAACAGGTAAGAAAGAGTAAACAGGTAAGAAAGAGTAAACAGGTAAGAAAGAGTAAACAGGTAAGAGAGAGTAAACAGGTAAGAAAGAGTAAACAGGTAAGAAAGAGTAAACAGGTAAGAAAGAGTAAACAGGTAAGAGAGAATAAACAGGTAAGAAAGAGTAAACAGGTAAGAAAGAGTAAACAGGTAAGAAAGAGTAAACAGGTAAGAGAGATTACACAGGTAAGAAAGAGTAAACAGGTAAGAAAGAGTAAACAGGTAAGAGAGATTAAACAGGTAAGAAAGAGTAAACAGGTAAGAGAGTGTAAACAGGTAAGAAAGAGTAAACAGGTAAGAGAGAGTAAACAGGTAAGAAAGAGTAAACAGGTAAGAAAGATTACACAGGTAAGAAAGAGTAAACAGGTAAGAAAGAGTAAACAGGTAAGAGAGAGTAAACAGGTAAGAGAGAGTAAACAGGTAAGAAAGAGTAAACAGGTAAGAAAGAGTAATTTACCCTATTAGGTCATAATTATAAAACATTCTTGAGAAAGTAAACAGGTAAGATGTCCGGGGTTTTGAACGCACCTATACTTCTGTAATTTACCCTATTAGGTCATAATTATAAAACATTCTTGAGAAAGTAAACAGGTAAGATGTCCGGGGTTTTGAACGCACCTATACTTCTGTAATTTACCCTATTAGGTCATAATTATAAAACATTCTTGAGAAAGTAAACAGGTAAGATGTCCGGGGTTTTGAACGCACCTATACTTCTGTAATTTACCCTATTAGGTCATAATTATAAAACATTCTTGAGAAAGTAAACAGGTAAGATGTCCGGGGTTTTGAACGCACCTATACTTCTGTAATTTACCCTATTAGGTCATAATTATAAAACATTCTTGAGAAAGTAAACAGGTAAGATGTCCGGGGTTTTGAACGCACCTATACTTCTGTAATTTACCCTATTAGGTCATAATTATAAAACATTCTTGAGAAAGTAAACAGGTAAGATGTCCGGGGTTTTGAACGCACCTATACTTCTGTAATTTACCCTATTAGGTCATAATTATAAAACATTCTTGAGAAAGTAAACAGGTAAGATGTCCGGGGTTTTGAACGCACCTATACTTCTGTAATTTACCCTATTAGGTCATAATTATAAAACATTCTTGAGAAAGTAAACAGGTAAGATGTCCGGGGTTTTGAACGCACCTATACTTCTGTAATTTACCCTATTAGGTCATAATTATAAAACATTCTTGAGAAAGTAAACAGGTAAGATGTCCGGGGTTTTGAACGCACCTATACTTCTGTAATTTACCCTATTAGGTCATAATTATAAAACATTCTTGAGAAAGTAAACAGGTAAGATGTCCGGGGTTTTGAACGCACCTATACTTCTGTAATTTACCCTATTAGGTCATAATTATAAAACATTCTTGAGAAAGTAAACAGGTAAGATGTCCGGGGTTTTGAACGCACCTATACTTCTGTAATTTACCCTATTAGGTCATAATTATAAAACATTCTTGAGAAAGTAAACAGGTAAGATGTCCGGGGTTTTGAAGATAATTATAAAACATTCTTGAGAAAGTAAACAGGTAAGATGTCCGGGGTTTTGAACGCACCTATACTTCTGTAATTTACCCTATTAGGTCATAATTATAAAACATTCTTGAGAAAGTCATTAATTATAAATAAAACATTCTAAACAGGTAAGAGAAAGGTTTTGAAACAGGTAAGACCCTATTAGGTCATAATTATAAAACATTCTTGAGAAAGTAAACAGGTAAGATGTCCGAACGCACCTATACTTCTGTAATTTACCCTATTAGGTCATAATTATAAAACATTCTTGAGAAAGTAAACAGGTAAGATGTCCGGGGTTTTGAACGCACCTATACTTCTGTAATTTACCCTATTAGGTCATAATTATAAAACATTCTTGAGAAAGTAAACAGGTAAGATGTCCGGGGTTTTGAACGCACCTATACTTCTGTAATTTACCCTATTAGGTCATAATTATAAAACATTCTTGAGAAAGTAAACAGGTAAGATGTCCGGGGTTTTGAACGCACCTATACTTCTGTAATTTACCCTAGGTAAGATTTAGAGTAAACATTCTTGAGAAAGTAAACAGGTAAGATGTCCGGGGTTTTGTTCGCTCCTATACTTCTGTATTTTACCCTATTAGGTCATAATTATAAAACATTCTTGAGAAAGTAAACAGGTAAGATGTTTTTGAACGCACCTATACTTCTGTAATTTACCCTATTAGGTCATAATTATAAAACATTCTTGAGAAAGTAAACAGGTAAAGTCATGATGTTGGCATCTGGTTTTACTTAGGTCTTTATATTTAATGAAGATGTCCGGGGTTTTGTTACTTCGGTCACGAAAGTAAACTTCCCTTATACTTTGTAATTTCCCTTTAAATGTGGAGCGGGAACTTTTGTTGCGTTTTGACAATGGCTATAACATTCGAATGCTATTTAAAAATTAACCAACCGTGAAAAAAATAAAAGCCCGAAGGTAAGATGTCCGGGGTTTTGAACGCACCTATACTTCTGTAATTTACCCTATTAGGTCATAATTATAAAACATTCTTGAGAAAGTAAACAGGTAAGATGTCCGGGGTTTTGAACGCACCTATACTTCTGTAATTTACCCTATTAGGTCATAATTATAAAACATTCTTGAGAAAGTAAACAGGTAAGATGTCCGGGGTTTTGAACGCACCTATACTTCTGTAATTTACCCTATTAGGTCATAATTATAAAACATTCTTGAGAAAGTAAACAGGTAAGATGTCCGGGGTTTTGAACGCACCTATACTTCTGTAATTTACCCTATTAGGTCATAATTATAAAACATTCTTGAGAAAGTAAACAGGTAAGATGTGGAATGGGAATTTTTGTTGCGTTTTAAACTTGTTGAATAATTTAAGTTCTTATGCTGGTAATTGGAAACTAATTGTTAATACAGAGAAAACAAAAATTGTCGTTTTCCGAAATGGAGGTATTGTCAAAGAAAATGAGTGTTGGACATACAGAGGGGAAAGTATTGATATTGTTGACCAGTTTTGTTATTTGGGCACTCTTTTTCGTTTTAATAATAAATTTAGTTGCATGATTAAGCACGTTGCTGATCAAGGACGTAAAGCAATTTTTGGTCTTCGTACCAAATGTAATTCTTTGAATCTAAATGTTAAAACTAAGTTACATCTTTTTGATACTTACGTTGGAAGTATTCGTTTTTGTATACATGTGAAGTTT